GGTTGGACGGAGCTTTTGGCACACCAAAAGGCCGGCACAAAAAAACCTAAAGAGGGGGGGGGGGGGGGGGGGGGTGTACTCATAGTCGTGCATGCCGTAGTCATTAGACCATTGACCTCGCATCCCTACAAAGCCGGGACGGAGCACGCCGGGTTCTCACCGGACCAGGCTCTCACATCACCAAGCGCGAAGCACCGTGAGGTATTTGGCGAGTCGCATGAAGGGTGAGCTGCATCCTGCTAAGGGTGTTCGGCATCTTGTGCTTACTTCCTTGCGTACGGATGACAGCTACGTATGACTTAATTTATTTTCTGGTGCTTTCACTTCCAGAGACAGTTGTAAGCACTGTGTAGCTGCCTCGAGGGTGCTTGACCATTTTAACACAACGTGGTGCGATCATCCCCCGTTGCGCGGAGTGAGGGTCCTCCACCCCGCACAACATGATCTACTCGACCACCATTATGGTTACCGCCAAAAAAAAAAAAAAACGGTAACCTGGTTGCCGAGTTCACGAAGTGAATTGGCTTGTTTTACAACGTCGTTGCCAAGCGACGAAAACCCAACCCCGATGGTAAACACCGGGGGGGGCGGCTTGTTTAACAACGTCGTTGCCAAGCGACGAAAACCCAAACCCCGATGGCAAACAAGGCCGAGGGGGGGTAGTAACAGCTACGTATGACTTAATTTATTTTCTGGTGCTTTCACTTCGGGGGGGGAGGGGCGTCCACACTCAGCGCGAGGAGGGATATAGGGCCAACAAAAGGAACACAAAAAACAGCAGTGAAAACAAGGAAGAACTACTCCAAGTGTCTCAGGCATCGCGGGGGGGTCGACACACAGCGCGAGGGGGAAAGTCACAACCGGGCGAAAAAAAAAAAAATCAACATGTGTAAACAAACAATGCGGACTGCTCCGGAGGTACAAACGGACATTTTTCCAGGACCAAGGCAACGAAGCCCTAACCAGTGCGCATAAGAAGACTCTCGCTGCCGCCCGGGGTAAGCTTGCCGGGCGGCGAAAACGGGGCCAACAGCGGTGATGTTGGCAACAGAACATCGAACCAAATACGATGCACCCAGAGCAGTTCGTGGGAAGCTTGACAATGCAGCGCCCTCTTCCTCCGGGGCCGCTGCTGTCAAACCCCGTACCCATCAACGGACCGCGAGGATCATGAATGATCTATGACATGGAGAGGGGGTGGTCGAATCCCTATCCCTAACCCCGTACTCCCTACCAAAACCAAGCTTTGCATTCTCGCGAAGGCTACCGCTACCGACCGCGACCACTGTTAAGCTCACCTGCGGGAGGAGCTGGCTGTCCTTGAACACCGTCACCGAACCGGCAGATATGTCCGGCTCAGCCATCAGCAGTGCTTTCCTCGAATCCCTGCGATGTAAGGAACCCAAACGTTTCGAAGCATCAGCATCAGCAGTAAGAAGAAAAACACGAAGCCCGTGGGAACAAGACAAGCAAGCCTTCTGATTGGATCAGGCGCAACAGCGGTTGATGCTGATTAAAGAAACACACAACGCGTGCACACACACGCAGCCCGGGGCGGAGCTGACGTCTGGAAAACGTGATCGCGTTTCTCATACATGTACCAAGAGAAGACTTGATCGACATAATTTTCTTTGTCGGCCGGGAATAGTAGCGCGGTCGAACAACCCCCCTCCCAAAAAACAAACACATATATACACAGATACACACACACATACACATGATGGACCAACCGCCTGATAGGAATAAGTCTTCTCCTTGTACTTCACAAGCAGGACACTGCTGTCTTCCAACTCCTGCGCCCCTCTCTGTCGGTGGATTCTATACCCTTTCACTCGAAATTGTTGGTGTCATGTTATCCCGCTATCTACAAGACTGGTGTACTTTCATTGGTCAGCCAGTTAGCGCGGTCGATGCTAACAAACAAAAAAACACACACAAGGCATGTTGTTCAACGTTCAACCGCACTGAGACTGATGTATGTACGTGTATTTACATTCGTCAGCCGGGTACATAATACCACAACCAACAGCCCCCCCCCCCCCCCCCCCCCAGCGAAAAAAAAAAAAAAAAAATAAAAAAAAAACTTCCCCCATAACAAAACCA